CTTGAAATAAAATATTTGGGGATTTTACCAAGTCCTGAAACAGTGAACTATGTGTGCACAGTGCCTTGCACGACCTTCCAGCACTTGCAAACATTTTCAAATAAATGGATGCCAGCCATTTAAATGTGGCTCAGTTCCTGTGTGCAGTGTAAAATATACCCAGGAGAGATGTGCCAACATGCTCCAGCACTACTTATAACTGAATCAGGATAAATGGAGACCATCAGATGCTTCGCGTCCTCCTCCACTCCCGCTCTCTACAGAAAATAAGCCTATGATTGTAAGGCTGACATGCATGCATGCACACAGGAAAAGGAGTGAAAGGGAAGCACTCCTGGCTGGTCACACCCTCTACAATAACACTGTCACACGCCATCCCTGGCTCGTGCCATCAGGCCGGAGGGAGAACAAGCAGAACAGAAAATGGGAGAGAGTTGGGACGAGGTCCGCTGCTGCCTGCTCTTCTTGCCCGGCTGCCAGAGCTACTGTTCACAGCACGGCTTACTGAAATGAAGAGGCATGGAAATACAAACACTGCCAACCACCACTGCTGTCCTCTATGTGACAGTCACACTTGCATCTAGCACTTTTCAGCTTTATATTCATACAAATGTGTAGATGTGCACAAGTGTCAAGCTGCAACTAACAGTTATTTTCATTATTAATTAATATGCTGACTATTTTCTTAATTAATGGAATACATTTTGGTACGTGAAGCACCAGAACACACTGAAAAACGACCATCATGACTTCCTAGAGCCTAAGGTGAGGTCATCACATTTCTAGTTTTGTCAGACCAACAGGCTAAACTCCAAAAAATTCTATTCGCTACAACGCAAAGACAAAGGAAACCAGGAAGACGGAAACATCGAGCATTTGGCTTCTTTTCCTGAAAAATGTGTTCCACGATAAGTCACTTATCAATAGAACTGACAATTATGGATACAAACAATTATCACTTAAATGTCATTAATGACTTAATCATTAAAATATATATTAACTGGCAATGCAGAGGATGTAACTGTCAGAAAATGTACTGCAGTTTGCTTCAGTACCAGGTGACACCACTGATTGGTGCCTGATGTTAACTAGACAGAGTTACACGTTTGCTGAGCATCTGTACAAACGACAAAACAAACCCATCCTTGTGTTGTGATTATATTCTCCAAAATGTTTATAGAAGCAAACCACTCCTGATCATACATTTCCAAGCATGAATAAAGCCTCAAACATCAGTAAGAGATCAGACGTATTTAAAGCAAAATAAAGTATGAGGAGTTTATAAATGTGACTCTGCTGTATCAAACTGTGCGGCAGAGGAAAAACAGAAGATTAGACTTTTAAATATCAGTTTCAAACAAGACCAAAGAGTTCTTAAAACTGCCAGGGTGCATTACACTTGCCTAAAACAAGGAGATAAAAATAGTGAAGGCAGAAAAGGGAATCAAACATTTCAGTGTGGAGGACATTCCTTTTTGTAAGTACTCTTGCTCCACTTGGCCATAGAAGGCAAACAGCGTGGCCTACTAGCCGACAGGAGAACGGGCCTTCAAATCCGCATGCTTAACATCCTCCAAATATTTATTCAAGTCAGTACTGCCAGGGGGTGTAAAATACTGCACAGTATTTTAAGGCCTGACTCGTAAATCCAGCTCCACAACCACCACTGCAGACAATCCTGAGAAGTCACAGAAAGTGAGATGATAAATTTTAGTCAGTGGGTCAAACATATGACTACAGTACACCCAGCCTGCATGAGCCAAGACACTGCTAATTAATAGAAACCTGATCTCTCATTTCTGTTGCCCACCACTACAGAGTGCATACTGTATATCAACAACTGTACATTTTAACATACAGATTACTAGTAAAGCTTAATTCTAACGTAGAAAAATCAAAGTAATGAGTGAACTGTCCATTTTGCCTTCATGTTGAGACAGACTTAGCTAAGGTAGGCACGACAAGGTGGAACAACCAGTCCAGTTTGTGTTCATCTGCAGCCTTTTCAGCACACAGAGAAAAGTCAAAGCAGCTCAAACCTGGGCAGAAAGTTGACTTTTATGATGTTATGATTACAACATAAGTTATTTCTGTTGCTTTCTATTAGTGAACATATACTTTGAATATTTGGGGTTTTCGACCAGAGAAAGCTGCACCAATGATCTGCTTTTGGCATTTAAACAAACTGTATACAGTCACCAAATCCTGCTGAGTAAAAGGTACATCAGTCTGTTAGTATTTTCACCACAGATGGCAGAGGTGAGGAACAGAGACCCCTCACTCCTCTCTACATTTACAAATATACCCAGGAGAGATGTGCCAACATGCTCCAGCACTACTTATAACTGAATCAGGATAAATGGAGACCATCAGATGCTTCGCGTCCTCCTCCACTCCCGCTCTCTACAGAAAATAAGCCTATGATTGTAAGGCTGACATGCATGCATGCACACAGGAAAAGGAGTGAAAGGGAAGCACTCCTGGCTGGTCACACCCTCTACAATAACACTGTCACACGCCATCCCTGGCTCGTGCCATCAGGCCGGAGGGAGAACAAGCAGAACAGAAAATGGGAGAGAGTTGGGACGAGGTCCGCTGCTGCCTGCTCTTCTTGCCCGGCTGCCAGAGCTACTGTTCACAGCACGGCTTACTGAAATGAAGAGGCATGGAAATACAAACACTGCCAACCACCACTGCTGTCCTCTACGTGACAGTCACACTTGCATCTAGCACTTTTCAGCTTTATATTCATACAAATGTGTAGATGTGCACAAGTGTCAAGCTGCAACTAACAGTTATTTTCATTATTAATTAATATGCTGACTATTTTCTTAATTAATGGAATACATTTTGGTACGTGAAGCACCAGAACACACTGAAAAACGACCATCATGACTTCCTAGAGCCTAAGGTGAGGTCATCACATTTCTAGTTTTGTCAGACCAACAGGCTAAACTCCAAAAAATTCTATTCGCTACAACGCAAAGACAAAGGAAACCAGGAAGACGGAAACATCGAGCATTTGGCTTCTTTTCCTGAAAAATGTGTTCCACGATAAGTCACTTATCAATAGAACTGACAATTATGGATACAAACAATTATCACTTAAATGTCATTAATGACTTAATCATTAAAATATATATTAACTGGCAATGCAGAGGATGTAACTGTCAGAAAATGTACTGCAGTTTGCTTCAGTACCAGGTGACACCACTGATTGGTGCCTGATGTTAACTAGACAGAGTTACACGTTTGCTGAGCATCTGTACAAACGACAAAACAAACCCATCCTTGTGTTGTGATTATATTATCGAGTTCTCCAAAATGTTTATAGAAGCAAACCACTCCTGATCATACATTTCCAAGCATGAATAAAGCCTCAAACATCAGTAAGAGATCAGACGTATTTAAAGCAAAATAAAGTATGAGGAGTTTATAAATGTGACTCTGCTGTATCAAACTGTGCGGCAGAGGAAAAACAGAAGATTAGACTTTTAAATATCAGTTTCAAACAAGACCAAAGAGTTCTTAAAACTGCCAGGGTGCATTACACTTGCCTAAAACAAGGAGATAAAAATAGTGAAGGCAGAAAAGGGAATCAAACATTTCAGTGTGGAGGACATTCCTTTTTGTAAGTACTCTTGCTCCACTTGGCCATAGAAGGCAAACAGCGTGGCCTACTAGCCGACAGGAGAACGGGCCTTCAAATCCGCATGCTTAACATCCTCCAAATATTTATTCAAGTCAGTACTGCCAGGGGGTGTAAAATACTGCACAGTATTTTAAGGCCTGACTCGTAAATCCAGCTCCACAACCACCACTGCAGACAATCCTGAGAAGTCACAGAAAGTGAGATGATAAATTTTAGTCAGTGGGTCAAACATATGACTACAGTACACCCAGCCTGCATGAGCCAAGACACTGCTAATTAATAGAAACCTGATCTCTCATTTCTGTTGCCCACCACTACAGAGTGCATACTGTATATCAACAACTGTACATTTTAACATACAGATTACTAGTAAAGCTTAATTCTAACGTAGAAAAATCAAAGTAATGAGTGAACTGTCCATTTTGCCTTCATGTTGAGACAGACTTAGCTAAGGTAGGCACGACAAGGTGGAACAACCAGTCCAGTTTGTGTTCATCTGCAGCCTTTTCAGCACACAGAGAAAAGTCAAAGCAGCTCAAACCTGGGCAGAAAGTTGACTTTTATGATGTTATGATTACAACATAAGTTATTTCTGTTGCTTTCTATTAGTGAACATATACTTTGAATATTTGGGGTTTTCGACCAGAGAAAGCTGCACCAATGATCTGCTTTTGGCATTTAAACAAACTGTATACAGTCACCAAATCCTGCTGAGTAAAAGGTACATCAGTCTGTTAGTATTTTCACCACAGATGGCAGAGGTGAGGAACAGAGACCCCTCACTCCTCTCTACATTTACAATGCACAGCTGACAGAAGCCGGTCTGCAAGAGAATATGCACAGCTGACAGAAGCCGGTCTGCAGGAGAATCTGTTCACACCGTGCAGATCGGGTGGAGTCTCCCTCAGCATATTACTGAGAGAATTCCCGCTTTGGTCCAAAATACACATGAAAACAAACGCAGCCCATTCACAGTGGCTCAAACCAGAAGGTTTCAGGCAAATGGACTCCAGAGCTGCTGAAACACACGAGACTTCACACACGGGAGTCAAAATTCAAACAGGTGCATGAATGGCATGCTGGGTAGTTTGACAGGTTCTCTTCATTCATACATTTTAAGCTGGGCCATTCTTGAGCAATACAACAATACACGGAACTGCGATGCGGACGAGCTCGTAGCACCTGTTGAGCAGCTAACAGTGACAATGTAAACACATTTTCACTAAAAGGATGGTAAAAAGTGGTTCCATGTATCCTCAGACCTGATGATAAACAGCGTCTACTCCCCTGAACATGAGCGCATAACATGCACCACAGTGGGTCTTATAAAGGTGAAGCTGAGCCTTACCTGAGTTTTAGGTTAGCCATGAAGTCTTCCATAGACACATTGTCCAAAAGCACAAAATCTGCTTTTCCAAACTCCAAGCTCTCGTGTTCGGCCATGTTTCTGCCTTATTCTCACTGAAGCTTGTGAAAAATTATTTTAACAGCTTTAAGTGCCAACAAAAGGTGAACATTGGCGGGCTCCCCTGCCCACCTCCTCTCCTTAATGAGTAGCTGTACGGTGCCTGCGCGTTTTCATCCGTGCGTAAAGTCAAATTGTAATTTCAGTCATGATGAACAAAGGTCACAAACTGTCTTAAATACACTGTAACTGTTGTAATTGATAGTAAACGCGTCTTCTCTCTCAGAAGTCCGGCTCTCCTATTAGAAATGGCAAATTATCCCAAAATATCCTCACGTCCATACAAAGTTTCGTCCTAACGCCGAAACGTTTCCTTTCCCCGTCGCATCGTGCGTCGGTTTTCCTGGACTTTGTCTCCTGTTGTCCCGACCGACCATCAGCCAATCGGACTGAGGCCTCCTCCGCCAGGCCCCGCCCCCTCCCCGCAGAGAGGTGTTGGTCAGACTGGCCCCTGTGTAAGCCGAAAGGCATTGCAAATATTTCTGGAGACCGCTGCCCCAGTGTTTCTGCTGCATATTTCAGCGATTACGGGTTGTAAACGACTCAGAGGAAACCCGTAATGTTTTGGCCTGGCCTTTATTATGCCCACTGTTTCCATAAAAGGCAAAATGAGGGTTCAGTGGGATATGAATGAAAAGTACAGATTTAACAGAGTTTTCATAGATGAACCAAGTGACTAAATCAGTGTGAATGGGGCCTCCTATGTGGACGCTTCTGCGCCAGGTGAACACCAATACCAGGCTTACTCTGATGTTAGCCTGCCACCTAGTGTTCAACGTGTGTAAACGCCGTACCTCCAAGTCCAATCCTGAGATACTCGACTACTTCACTTCAGAGGGAAATACTGTGTTTTATACTCCACTACATTTATGTGATAGGACAGCTGCTAATTATTTATTATACATACAAACCTCATAAATTGTAGGGCATTGTTAAACAGAGAAAACTACAGTATATAAGGTATTTCAAATAACTACATTAACAAACTACTATGGTAAAGTGTTTACACATTTATACTTCCACATAATAATCTGTTATTATAAAATATGATAATAAAACATTTAGCATTTGACAATTTTTATTTAATACTATAAGTAGACTTCAGTACATTTGCTTATAATACCTGTAAAGGAGTATTTTTAGAATGTGGTATTGTTACATGCAGATAAGTCAAGTTAACCTTTATTTATACACACTCTGTGGACATTTACTGCATGTCTGTGCATTCTGGAGCTGAAACTAATTATTTTTTTTATTATCACTTCATCTGACAACTATTTTCAATTGACCAATTGATTGTTTGGTTTATAACATGACATAAAATAGTAAAAAAAAAAAAAAAAAAAGCCTTACTCACTGAATAATCACAATTTCTCAATAAACATCTGCATTTTTGGAAGAACACAGTTTCTGGTCAGAATGATTGTTCACTGTTTGTTCACTGGCTCGTCAGTCACTTTACACACACAAAACAAGCTCAGTCTGACATACAGTATATGTTTCACTACATGCAGCAGACAGTACCAGTAATAGCTGTGGCTATAAGGTATCCTAGTATTATATAGTAAATGTACCTTGATCTATCTTCACCACATGTGTACACTGAAAGAATAACAAATCATTAAAAGAACAAAACAATTTAAACATGTCTGTATCAGCATTTTCAAATGCTGGCGATCGTCCAAGCACATCAGCAGGAGGCACAACAAACTTCACTTTACCAGCGTCTCTCCCAGTTCAGGTTCAGGTGTTACTTCTTACAGACAAGCTGCGAACGTCAACATGTATCAGTCCCCTGTTATAACAGCCTGTACGATCCGCAGGGCGTGGTAAACTGTCAACACTGCTCTTTTTCAGTAATGACCACATTTAACAGCTGCAACTCATGCAAAACAGAACTTATTGCTGTTAAAATTACAGCTGAGTGCTTGATAACTAGTTGTGATGCACATACACTCAGGTGTCACACCTAACTCAGTATGTTGATGAACCTGCTTTGTAACTGGAATGTTATTTCTAATTTGTCATTTGTTATCTGAATAATTTGATCACAGACTTTTACTCTATTTGTTCCATTTTATTTTTACACATTCATACCTAATTTACAAAAGAGTTCAGTACATGAGGTGAACATAAGAATTCCAGTACACTAACATGCAGATATTCGACATGGTGTTTGTGTCACTGTGCTGTTGCTATGGAGAGTTTATCGGCCTTTGTTTGTATGAGATAAGGAGAAGTTGGATTCTTTCCAGCCCTGCGATGTAGCTGTTGTGACCTGGGAGAAAACAGCGCGATTTAATGGCCGTATTTAGAACTGCTGCTGCTGCTGGCCACATAAACATGAGACTGACTGCAGTGTCAAGTGATCACTCGACATATGCCACCCACAAGATCTTTCATTCATCAACAAATATAGAAAATACACAACCAGCTGCCACACAAACAACACAGTTTAAAAAGCCATTTGTTCCAAGGTTTATTCTAGGAGCTGTGAGCTCTCCAACCAAAGAGTGATGTTCCCTTCTCAGATTGTTCTATTTGCATAGTTTTTACACGTCTGATGAGGTAAAACTATCAAGTATTTTACATGCAACAACAAAAACCAGTGGGTTTTTTTTGTTGTTGTTTTTTACATAAATGTGGTTTCTCTCTGATCTTGGATCTGGATAATGATCCCGTGACACCTCAGATTTATCTAGTGATCTCTTGGGGGTTCAAGATTCACTGGTCTAGACCGGTGGTTTCAAACAGTGGTCCGTGGCCCCCTGGTGGTCCCAGAAGACATTGCCCTGACCATGCATTCAATAATGGAGTTTCATAGTTTTTAATTTGCTTTAAATACATTTCATGCATTACTTATTATTTGTGAAAAATTAAATTCATACAAGTATATACAGTTTAAAAGAGCCAAGATGACTTTCAGGATTAAAACAGTGCCCATCCAGTTTATACATGCCGCAACAGTGGCCCTCAGGTTACTTTAGTCAGGATGATGGTCCCTGGGACCCAATTACATGGATACTCCTGCCTCAGACTACCAACTTCTCCACCCCCTACCACTGTAGGGCAAACATGACATGAGAGTCACACCACACTATAATGAAAGAGAAAAATTAGGTGAGCAACTGAACTTAGTTACTGCTATTGAATTGAATCTATTACAATGCATCACATTTTATTGGCTCGACATTTATCTGGTGTGTAAAACTTTTAGACTATTGTCAATTTTCTTCTGAAATGGACTGCAGGAAATTCAGTACAAAAACCTCAAGATTAAGTGCTGCATTGAGTGAATGTGCTACATTACTTTTCAACACCACCATTACCAAAACGTACACTGGTTCTTTCTCTCTCAAAATGTTTCAAATATGTGACACAAGGAGCCAAAGGAAGGCAGCTATTATTAGAATTCCTTCTGGGCTGTCTTACCCCTCAACAGCTGAGTCTGACGTGCCCCTGACGTCAAACAACACGACTGTGAAATTGTCCGTTTCCCCCATGGACAGAGGAACACCAGTGGGGTGGAACCTACTACAGACACAAATCTTCCAATAACAATGTGCACAATAAGACTTTCTTCGTGCCTGAGGGTCTGGAGCTGGATTATGTGCAGGGCAGAGGGGCTGAACCTAATGGTTCATCTCATCCAACACAGACCCTATAAAATTAAACTGGAACATTTTATATTGATGTGTTTTATTATTTGGGTTGTATTCACAGTATTTACAAGCATTTTAGTCATGTACCTATAAAAAAATAACCCTTTGCATCCTGTATGATTATGGTAAATATAATAAAAAAAAGAAAACCCATCACTTTCAACACAGATGGACTCGGGGATTTTTTCCTCATATGGCACAGTGCAATAAAGGATGTGAGACTGGTCTTGCTTTATTGGATCACAGGCTGGTAGGGATGGCAAACACAACGTGCTGCCTTCTGGGGTTTGATAGCACTTGCTTCATGAACTTTGCTAAAAGCATTAAACCTTCAAACAACCTGGCGAATGCTCTGGCGGCTCACTTTGAAATCTGGTCCACGACACTAATGTTAAGATAACACTGTATCTTATCAGTCCTTTCAAACACTATGATTAAAACTTTGCATATCTGTGCACTCAACTTTAACGTCGAACATTTGTTCAGATCTCCTGACCAACGTTACAGTACTTCCAATTTAACAAAAATATTACTTTAAATAGTTCAAGTATTCAATGAAATGAGCCTTTGGGTGAAGTTGCTGCTCTAAGGCTTGGGTGATATTTTCTATAGAAGTCAGAATCTGGATCTCTTTAACAACAGGTCCCTTCCCGTTTAACCAAACATCTGCTGTAAAACCTACACCCTCCTCTTCGTCGGTCTACTCCGCTCCACTGCGACTGTCTCTCCCACCTGCACACACACACGCACACACATACACATGCGCTCCACTGCGACTGTCTCTCCCACCTACACACACACACGCACACACATACAATTCCTGGTGAAGCTACATGCGTTTAGCAACAGTGAAGCTGCATCTCCAATGTTCTGTTAGTTGTTGTTGCTATTTGTCTACTCTGTTATGACAAACTCAGAAGGAAAACAGGGAGTCAAAACAACATGAACATGCTACTGCTAAAACCACACAGTGCCCATCTGCCTTGGCAGATAACCAACTGGGAATATGAAGACAGATATTCCAGAGGTTTCTTGCTATGTGGGTCTGGAGCACCAGGCCTGGGGGCTGTTTTCACTTGGCCACCTTAAAGGGCCTCAGATCCAGAGGCTCTTTCCTGGGTATACACCAGTCGTCAGCCTCGTGGCTCACTTTGTAGTTCTTCAGAGCAGTTTTGTTGTACACTGGCAGCCTCTCGATCGAGTCTGTGGACAGCGCCTGAGGGGACGATAAGCCCAGATATAATTAGAAAAGGCCCATCTTACCTGGACCAACTCCGCAGGTGTGCAGAGTTCGGTTTGTGTTTAACAAAGACAGATCATCAGCCAGTTTCCTCTCTCTGCTGTGTGTGGTAGACTCGTCACAGTTTCAATCATGATCATTACGTCTGGCTCACCTTCAAGTAGACGACAGCGTCTGTGCCGTGGCCCTCCATGGAGAAGAGCTGCAGGTCTCCCTGGAAGTACTTGGCGTACAGACGAGAGATGGGCAGACCGTAGCCAAAGCCAGCCTGCAGAGATAGAGCGGAGAAGGAGGGTTTAAGAAGGCTTTGTTCTCTGTCACACTGCAAGCAGCGGCACTCTTCCATGGAACAAGTAGGTCTTTAATCAAATTCGCTTTGTGCACTGTAGTTCACTTGTCGTTTGAGAAAACAAATGATGACAGGATTTCAATTTTTAAATAGCCAAGACATCTAAATAAAAGTCTAAATGAGCATTTTGATGCTGCACAAAAAGCAACCAAATGACATATGGTGCAATTAACAGTGTCTTTACACCTGCTAAGAAAATCTATATTTAACTTTCAATACATGTAGGAGTGCAAATGAGTTAATAAATGAAATCCTCCTCCTCGATCTGTACTTACCAGTGGAGGCCGTGTGTGGTCTCCTATCTTTGGAGCAGGAGCAGTAGAGTACATGTAGCTGAAAAGCTTCTCAGTCTTACGAAAGGGGACACCGCCGCCCTTGTCACTCACCTACAGGCAGGGGCAGAAATAGAGAGGTGGGATATAGACAGAATGATGTGAGGACCTTAAACAAGTACCTGCCTGATGCTTCACATCACAGGCCTTAATGATCAGATCCTTCTGGGTTAATGATTCACATTCACCTTTGTCATTGTCATGTACCCGGCTCTGGTGTGAACACCACTGAGCTCCTAAACTGCCACATGTGCAGATTTAATTGAAACGCGAGCCACGTGCGTACAAGAATAATGTCATTTGTGTGATGGTAAAACCAAAAACGAATCAGTTATGACATATTTCTTCCAGCTCAACTTCAACAAATGTGAAGCGTCCTGGTCTCTCCACTGACCCTGTCACCGTCTTCGCTCTCCTTCATGTTTATTTTTACTGGTCTGTGAGGAGTCGACGCTGAATGATGACAACAGGTGATATGTGAGGAGGAGACGTTAAAACAACCACATGGATTCTGATCTGACAGCGCTCACACAGAGGTCGGACAGGAAATCAGATCTAGGAGCAAATAGGGAAGGGCCACAGATCTGACCTGAAAAAAAAAAAAAAAAGTGGACCAGTTTGTCAAAGTCTGCTGCTGGTGATGAGGTACAGAGAAACCAAAAACAAGGGGAATCATGACCACATTAACATGTCTACACTGAAAATCAACGTTGGCTTTACTGCCAGTGTAAATATACTTTAGCCAACATACAGCACTGTTCATCAGTTACATATTGTACACTGTGTATGGCGTGTACTGTAGTTAGCTCCAAAGCCCTTTTTATTTTAAGCCAAACTGCCAACTGATACAGTAGCTGTTAATCATTAGGCCTAAAGTAAACATGAAGGATTTTACTATTTTGGTCACTTAATAGCAGCGCAGCAAACTGTAACGGTGGTCGTGTTAGCAGACAGTAGCTTTATTGCACATCTAGCATTATTACTCATCTGGAGTCATGATGGGGGCCACCTGATAAATGCTAGTACAACACTCACTCTCCTGTTAGCTCTATTTTGGTCTCCACAAACTCTGAAAACACAAATACTTATACGTAAATGGTAAATGGTAAATGGACTGTATTTATATAGCGCTTTCTCACAGTGTGTTACACTGGCCAAAGCGCTTTACAGGAGATCATACACCATTCACCCATTCACACACACATTCACACACCGATGACGAGAGGCTGCCGCACACTGGCGCCAGTCGAACCACCGGGAGCAATTTGGGGTTCAGTGTCTTGCTCAGGGACACTTAGGCATGCAGAGAGACCGGGAGTCGAACCACCAACTTGCTGGTTAGAAGACGACTGCCCTACCTCGTAAGCCACAGCCACCCACCCACGTAGGAGCTTTAGAGAAAAATTTGAGTGACAAAGAAAAAAAAAATGGCTGGTGCTTTTAGCTTTAAAGCAAAAAAAGACTAGCACATCACTTTTTTTTATCCAATACTAAACTGATTTGCAGTAACAACATCATAAAAAAAAGAGTTTTAAATCAAACACACTGGTTCACACAGAGCTTACCCACCAAAAAAAGACACACTCACATTCTCACTGACTCCTACAGGCAATATAAACTCTAATCCTCCTGCTACTAGCATGTGAAAGTTATGGGAGGAAATGCGTTGCCTGGAGCCCACCTGTGCAAACAGAGTACACACAAACAAAAGCCTGGGAGCAGTAGCCAGACACGGACCCTGCTGTTTGACCCTTTTCTCCGTTTAAGATTCTTTGTTTTTCCTTATCTGAACTGAGGGCCCAAGGACAGAATATGAATCAGAGGTCATGCTTGAGGTTTGTTGTTGAAGCTGTATAAATAAAAACGATGTGACGACAACCAGTGAGTCACCCCTTGCCATTTCAGTATCTTTAAAATAACCACAAGATAACTCTTGCATTTCTAGCAGCTGTACTGTAGTTTACAACCCACCTTAATGGACATGTCCTCGCCTCCAAGAGACACTTTCACTTGAATGGGTGGGAGGCTGTTGCTGCTCTCATGGGTGTCAATGGTGGCCCTCATGGCATTCTACAAAAAGAAAAATACGGTGTAATAAAAATAATTTTACTTTCCAATTTGAGCGTGATGCCATTCATCAGGGTGTCATACCTTAAAGAGCTCGAACAGCATGTGATACAGGTGAGAGGGCACATACACGATGCTTATTGGCTCGTTCTTCTTGCCTGCGCAGGGAGAAACAGTCTTTTTTAGTTTCACCCACTTAAGTGAAAATTCATTATCCTCACCACCCGTGTGTGTCTTTCCATCAGTGGCAATTACTCTGCTCCGGTTCTACAGCTTGTGAGTATGGAAAGGGGAGGAGGTGTGTGTCAGTACTGTCTGATACAGACAGCTGGGCGCTCTAAGCCATCACTTCAGCTTCACTGCTATAATTAGAGGCCCAACAGGTCCATCTGGCTGAATAGCAATTTTAATATAGTCACTCCTACTGTATGTCCACACAGAGGTTTGGCTCCGTTTGCTCTTTTAGACCAAATCCATGTAAGCTTACTGCTCATCTCCTGTAGTATGAGATCAGGGGAGCGGAGATAGTACTGGTCACACAGCATCTTGGCATTTTGGAAGGCATCTGAGGAAAAGAAGACAGACAATACTGTCAGTAGTGATCATTAATCCCCAAAACAAGTGTAAGTGTTTATGTATTGCAAATACAATTATGAACAGAAAACATTAAAAACAGTAACTGAAGGTTGTTGTTTTTTTTACAATATATCACGTCAGTATATCAAAACAGTAGTTTTGAGCCCATCAGAGGGCAACTTCAGCAACTAAAGCCTAATTCATCCAGCCCACTTTAAGTCCAAATATAATCAAATCCTGTTTAATTCATATTTACCCTGGATGACATCTCCGACTTGACAGTGAGAGTCAATGCTGCCTATTATGCTGGGGTGCACAGGGTTGGTGGTGCCATCGAAAACAAGAGCTGCAGAGAACAAAACATGCCAAGATAAGAGCATCAGAAAGCATCTGTAACTACTGGGTCATCAGCAAAGCTCAAGAATAAAATAAGAAATAATGCAGCATTAATAAGAAGAAGTACACAGTATACTGAATTACAGAGCCTGTGAAGATAGGGGGGGACTCTTAACAGCACAAACTCATCTTCAAGCAGGAAGCCCTGCTGTTCAGGCCTCCGAGGGTATTGTGTACAAGATTTAGGAACATAATTTAAAAAAAATGTAAAATCGATGCAATAAATGACAGAAGATAAATTTTGTTTTTCCAGGAGGACAGTGGGATTAAACCAACTCTACCATCTACACCTAATTAGTACCGAGTAAAAGATGGATAACCAATGTAAATTCCAGTACTTTATATCTTATTTACTTCTGTCTACAGGTGTCAACACCCCAGTACTTCTGTAGTGAATGCTGTGCAGTAGTTATGGTACCATTTCCTCACTGATTTAAATTTTATGATGTTGCTTGACTCTCGTGAGGTTAGCAATGAAATCCCACATCTGTAGTGCGTGTGTGACAATAAAGTTTGGAAAGCGACATTCTTTGAAGGGTTGACTTATTTTCCCCTGTGGATGTGAAGTAACTGACAATGAGCAGAATGAGCACAACAGTGTGACACAGCCTGAAGGGTTGACTTATGTGGATGTGAAGTAACTGACAGTGAGCAGAATGAGCACAACAATGTGACACAGCCTGGTGTGATGACAGTCATTTCAGACGCATTGTGAGGACAATAACTAAGCTTTGACAATGATTTGTGTACAGTCCACATTGGAAAATATGAAATCGCTACATGTTGGTTTTCCAGACAATAACTGCAGCAAATGATTCATGTTAAGTCACAAAGTATCACCAGCTGCACCAACTGCATCCTGACAACCCAGGAATAATGTGAACAACAATAAAAGCCTTCTTTAATCGCACACGATACCCTGTCCCAGTTCTTGGCTCACAGAGCCATGAAATTCAACATAAAATCCAACTTTCCACACGGTGAATGATGAAGAGCAGCAAAGACAGACACTTTGTCCCAATTCAGGGGATCCTTCAAAAACAGATGGTGTCACAGTGTGGCGTTAAGGCCGTCCCGTTCCCACAGCTCCTTCTTTCCCCAGGCAAAGAAGGGTCCAGCTGGTGGATCCTTCAAGACCCACCCTGTCCCAAGATTCTTTGCTAAAGTAAATAGGAAATCCTCCATAGACCAGGACGCTTTAGTTCGGTCCTCATGGTCTACAGTGGTTACAAAGGCACGGTGTGCTTCAAAGGACGCAGCCCCTGAATTGAAGCACAGCAATTGATTTATTACTCACTGTGCTGGTTGATCAGCATGCGAATTGAGATACGGCTCATGTAGAAGCGGTCCAGAAAGTATTGGATGTTCTGGTTAGTGGCCGAATCCTGGGGGAAGGTCTCTTTGTACTCAATGACACCCTGGGCCATGGTGGTCACGACGTCGTTGTGCCTGTTTCTGATGGTAACTAAGGCATCAACAAACCTGCAGAGAAAGGTTGTAGAAGAAGAGCATCCAGCTGTCAGGAACTCTGGGGCCAGGTTAAACACAAGGATCCAAAGAGCCAAGATAATTAAACATCTGGACACTGTATCAAAGCTAAAACAAACAAACAAAAAAAGTCCACACATCTTCCTTTTCCTGTTATAATACATCCATGGTCTCGCCCAGTTTCACTTAGACATGAATGAGAGGAAATCTGAGCTATAACCAAGTTTAGCAACTCTCCTACTGCAAATATCACCACAATAACCATGTCTAAACCAAGAACGGCACATGTTCGAGCAGAGTCTGAAATTGAGATGAAATTAACAACCTCAGCGACCGAGCTCACAGGTGTCACCGTCACCTAAACTAAGTTAGTATTTATGCATAAAATCTCCAAACTGTAACAAAAGGGATAAAAGATGAAACACGGCCACTGTTCAACAGCTTAGCATGGCAAATATTAGAAACTTACTCTCCCAGGACTTTGTGATCATCAGGATTCTTGTCCAGGAATTCAAGGATCTCCATTAGACTCTGGATGTACCTGAGAAAATCATAAATAAGTACATTTATACACATAAACCTATGTTGCAAAATGCAAGACAAGCAGCTGAGTGAGTCTGAAGGAATCGTATAAGTTTGGAAAATGCTGTCTTTTAATCCTTATAAGCATATTTTTGCATTCATCACCAAGAAGAAAAGAGCAAGGCAGCTGAAAGCTAGGTCACGTGACATGTGACGTGAATCTGGAGTAAAGTTCACAGCTGCGGCTCCGCCTCGCACGAAGCTGGTTGGACCGAGCATAACTAGGCCAAAGGTTGTCTGTGTTTTTCTGTGCCACTACTTGGCAATAAACAAGTCAGCAGCTGTGGCGGTTACCTTCTCAGTAATCTCGGGATCACGTCTGACAGCATTTTAATGGTTTACCACTGAGACAAATCTACATAATGTGGTATTTTGTTTTCTGTTTAATCAAAAGAACAGAGCCACTGTTAAGATGTTATGCAACTTACAGTAGAACACAACAATAGCGTTTTCCCGGTCGGACTTACCAGCTGTGCACCATCTGCACAGATGGGGTTGTGAGCAGTTCATCAGGCAAGAGGTTAATTTCCTTCATTATGTTGCAAAGTCTGACAGGAAGCTCCTGTCTGAGAAAGACAAAGGACGTCTTCTCACAGGCATTGGTGGATCCTGAATCAACACCGAAAACAAGCAGGATGAGGAGTCAGGAAATTGATCTGAGCACTAGAACTTTGTTCTGTTGGTTGAACAAAACAAGCAATTTGAAAAAATTCACTTATAAACTCTTTCACATTTCAACCTAAGTGGATAGGTGCATAGTGTTTTAGGCATTATGCTCTGTAAACAGCCATAATAGCTGTGTTCATCAGATTTGCTCCTACAGAATTTGCATGGTTTCACGGGTGTCCATCATCGTGTTTTCTCTATGTAAATGAAACCCGCATTTTAAGAGGAATGCAACTCTGCTTTTGGTTTGTGGGGCCAGACAGTGCAAACGGGCCTGACTACAGCTGATGCAACGCTCCGCACTATGAGCACGGTGCACGCAGCTCCTCTGCCAAACCCTTGACAGAACAGATGCTCAGACCTGCATGGTAAATTTAGCACATTGCCTATGCATCGTCACTGCATACATTACTGGTCAGATGTATAATGTTACAGATCAACCCCCCCACCCCCGAACGGAGATCAAGACTCACCGAAATCGAGAAACTGCTTGATGGAGAGCGGCGAAGGAGAGAATTTAGCGAAATGCTCGATGTGTTTGGGCACACTGACTGCAGCGGCACTTCTCATTATAAACCTGACGAACTTCATCGCGACTGTGTGGAGTCTCGCTCTGGCGGCGGAACTCCACTTCACACCGACCGAACCTGTGAGTGAAAGCTCAGGGGGCGAACGCTGGAAAGTAGCGAGTTGCAGCCAATAAAAAGGCGGGGTTCTCTGTTTACGTTCACGACTGGCCAATAGGAATCTCTCGGGGGCGGGTTTACTCTGTTTGGGTAATCCCATTTTGGACTCTCCCTCAGCGGACTGTTATCTTCTGCTTTGATTATGTAAAAGGTGTTTTAAAGAGCAGACGCTAATCGACCAGCTATTTAAACAAATATGTTAAGGTCCTTAACTCAAGTCGTGTATACAGGAGACTGCAACCACAGGGAAAATGAGCTTCTCCTCTTCTTTACTATTGCAATTTTTATAACATTGATTCATCTTCTAAATAAATCATGGCTGAGTAAAATATCACATTATTAAGTTAAAAGTTGACATATAGAATAAAAATGTGTGGAGCTGCATAGGTTAAATTGATAACTACTTGCATGCTTACCATCACTTACACCTGTGACCTTTGTACACCACAGTGATTCAGGTTTTGTTTTCTTGCTGATCAAAGACATCATTACTAATAATCTCTTACAGTGCTTCCTTTGTCATGTGTTATTTAAAAATGTGTGGCTTTAATCAGGCTTTAACCCTTTCTTTCCCATGCATCAAGCTTGTGTTTGCAGTTACAGAGTGTTCTTTTGCTCGCTAAGGACCCGGGTCTTATGTAGGTTTATGTGGGAGTAAATCCATGTTAGCATTCAGCTATACCAAACCAACACTTGTGAGATCATAAAAATGCTTCTTCAAAAGCTCCAGAGTGGATAAATCTGAAAACAACATGTTTTCCTGTACAGGGGCAAAACAAAGTCTGGTGAATCATTTTAAATGTCAGTGTAGATGAGCTATATACATAGCTATAACAGTTATTCTGTTCAATATTTATTTACTAATAGCTCTGTGTAGCAATGTAAGAGAAGCTATTTACCTGAGGAAAATGTAACATCTATAAGCTGTAATCAAATAATCTGACAACAGAAGCAGAACATACATAAATAAGCATAACTACATTTAGATTTCAGTTGTTTTAAAGCATGTTCACAGAAAGCAGGAGACTGAACTGGAGGTTCAACCAGCTGAGACTTTACATGTAACCAAACTGCAGTGGATTGTCAGAAAACTGCACCACAAAAAATCACGACTCAATTCAGCTTTGCCAGCTCACAGCAGATAACAAGCTCCCCCTCTGCCAGATGATATCAAAACAAGTATTAGTCATGTTATTTTTAAGTGTCAGTTGTTTGGCTGTTTAATGTTTGTTGTACTGCATCAGCCGCATTCAGTGTCTAACAGGATTTAATCTTGTTTCATCTTATGATGTTCAGTTTCATTTGACAGAACATTGGTGATATCTGTGGTCCACTTGACATTACCAGAGTACTACCTTTTGTTAAAACTGGCCCTAGAGACACATCTAGTGGAGCGTGTTTATCTGGTCAAAGGTGAGGGTGTGGGGGGGTCGTTGTTGGTTACCCTTGATACTTTTCCACTCTCCATCAGCCTATGTTCCTGCCAGCAGTCAGCTCCTATTCCTCACAGAGAACAAACAGCAAGGCATTTCAGGCATCCTGTCAGTGCCGAACCGGTTGAAGAGTGAGCAACTGGACAACAACAACTCCAGTGGAAATTTCCTCTTGCTGCAGGCAAGGGGGAGCTAGTGATTGCTCATCAGGCCTAACTGGGGTCACTTAAATTAGAAACTTTAAATGCCAGTGATTCACTTTTTCATAACAAAAGTCTCCCCCTGATTAAAGTTAAAATCAAATGCAATTCTTACTGAACTCTATTGTAACATGTTCCTGCTAATAATCTAGTTTGAAGATACAAATGCATTAAATATTAATCAATTCCATTGCATTTCTTCAATTTGTCTGGTAAATGTAATCATTACAACATTCACAATGTGTTTAACTACTATTCATGAAACAACTTATAATAGCAGTGCTACGTGAATACGGATTAGAAAAGATGTTCCTCCAACCAAGAATATCAATGGAGCTTTTACATTTTACATGGTCATTATAATCATTTAAGAACTGCCGACGATGACTAATGAAAACAGTGCGGGGGGAACAAAAGATGAAAGAAAGACAACTTAAATACTGGTCTGGAATGAACAATTGGACTGATCATGTCAAGCTTCAGGAGCTTCCTTGTTTGGGATGAAAGGAGCAGCAGTTAGCTGTTATATGTCATTTTGTTTATTTTTGCAATTTACTTTTCATTTGCCTAAAGCTTTATCAGTTACTGTCACCCTTCAAATTATTATGTCCTTTACTGATGACTTGCTTTGTGGCTAAATTAATTTTACAGCAGATAAATCTATTGCCTATATATTTTATTTTCAGGAATCAGTTTTCTTTTTCTTCTGTCTCTTCTGTGTGTTGGATTGGTTTCAGTTCCATGTGAGAATCAGACTGAAGAATATGAATGAATCAGTAACTTCAGGACAACTTTAAAAATGTCAGATCATCAGGCCCTAGAGCTCCTTAAAGTCTCTTTGTGTGGCTTGAACACCCACAAGCTTTTTTTCTTGGATGAAGTAGAGTATAACGACAACAGTCGTGCTCACTGGGCCTTAAGAAAATCACTATAATACCAGGCCATCTGGACAAGTATTACAAAATTATTTACATATTAAAGTCTAAAACAATATAACAATTTAAAAAAACAGTAGCATCCAGGTGGGACACACTGGCATGAGCATAATCACTGACAAAGTTACAGTAGTATAGCACCGCGAGGTACTAATGCAAATGTAGCTACATGTTTTTTATTCAGTATCAACATGAAAATGAAAACCAGTGACTTTTACACCCCATTTCCAAGGCATTAGTGCAATTTAAAAGGCTCACTGATAAAACACTCAGTTAACCAGTTTCTTTGCGCAGGTTAGGTGCATGACAAAAAGCAGGCCATTGTTACCAATAATTCATATAAAGGACATAAAACCCTGATGAGTCTATTTTAAAACTGTGTCCAGTTCCTAACACTCTCTTCTTTATGTAGTTTGGCAGCGGTGCCAATTCTAGCCACATACAGATGCTTTTTCTTCACAAACAGAAGGTGTGAAGAGATTTCATATATAGAGGATATAGCCAATGGTGGAGCCATGTGGCTTTAAATGTAAGCTGTTGAACTGTTTGCATAAAGCCTGTGCTATAAATACTCCTCAGCCTGGTTATGTGCTGCTTTTATCTTATTCCCTCTATTGTTTAGAAACTCTATAAGGACACCTGGGGACCCTATGTGTGGGGTAGGATTATCTGAAAACCTAAGGTGCAAATATTAGTAGGATTATTAGATGCGTGATCTTTTCTTCAGGTTGCTCAGAGATCCGTTGCCTTGGTTCTGGCTCTTAATGCAGGGTGACTCAGGCAGGAGACATAGATGTTCTCGTTAAAAGGAGAGGCTGGCGCTCCTATTCCCGCGACATCATCATCCCACACTAGTGGAGCTCCACGATGTGCGGTGTGATGCTCAGTCTTGCACAGTAGCAGCTACAGGAGGCGTGCTCGTCTCTGCCACAGGAGCACAAGAGGAGCGGAGCAGCGGCCAGCAGGCTGTTACCGGGCGCTGGACACATCGTGAAAGAGAGCGTTTTGGGGGGGTGCTCTGCCCCCCGCCTCCCAACCTCCTGAGCGATGGCATCTATGGATCGATCAACGGGAGCGCGTGAGTTATCCTCTTTATCAAATCCGTGCACTGTGTTTCATATGTGGCGGATGCAATGTGCGCTGGAGATGCAGAGCAAACTCGATGTCTAACAGCCATGTTAGGGTCATCGCACCAACAGAGCACAGCCGTGTTTTGAAACGGGCCAAACACGTACATGTTAGATCACAAATCATCAGCTGCTGTGTTTATTTACTGTGCGTGCGGTCGGTGTGCAGTGACCACAGCTGATGCATACCGACACCTCCAGAGGAGCCGTGGCAGCAGCGGCAGCGCGCAGAGCAATGCAACTTCAGCTCTGTGCTGACGGACAGCGGTCAGCAGATGTAGCCTGTTGTCGTCTGACCTGCTTTTATCACTGCATACTAGTGGGTCACAAGAAAGAGACACAACAGTCTTATCAGATCTTCTGGCCAGCTGAACTTGCACCGGATTCTGCCCTCGGAATTTGCTCTAATAACTAGTTGTAAGCTTCATAGTCTGATAATATAAACAGGCTATAAAACATGCAGTGTTCTACACAGCAAAAATGAAAAAAGAATACCCTGTAAGGATATGTAGGAATTTTAGGCCAATAGTTTTGTTGGTTTAAATTTGAAATGGTGTCATTATTTCATGCCAAAATCTAATTCTGGCCTGGTTGCAGAAAAACAATATTAGAGGAAGGGAACGGGCTGCTCGTGGGCTGTTGGACCATGTTGTAAAGTATTTCTGGCTTGAAAACACAAACACTCTACTGTATATCAGGCTCGGTATAAATAAATGCAACAGAAGAGAAAAACGAGAGACACTGTTGGCCCTGCTTGCTTATAATAGAAATGCTTACATGTGGATGTAACTGGGCTGAATATCTGCTGGAAGGTTTAGATTAAATGGCTGAAGTCAGAATAAAGGCAAACATATCAATTCAATATGATTTTTGCAGTAATGCTCAGCATAGTGTCTGATCTGAAAAGCTGTCATTAAGTCTTAAGCTCAGCTGTGTTTTGAGCTAATGTCAGCTTGCTAAAAGTGACAGTGCTAAGTACAATTCTGATCTAATGATGACACTATAAATTCAGGGGATTATCAAGACTGTAGACCTGTCCAGGGTGTAGCCCACCTCTCACCCAGTGCTAGCTGGGATTGGCTCCAGCCAGTGCTGGATGGATGGATGGACCAAGATTACATTAAACATGAAAGTGTGCAGTCCATCCAACATGCTCTGCCCAGCTCTTCAGATATTTACCTTTATGAAAATACGATGAATGAGAATGCAACAAAACTCACTGATCAAGTAGAAATAATTGAAAATCTCTGATTGGTTAGAGAGGTCAGTCCTGCTCAAAACCTTTCAGAAGCTAAACTTCTTCACTGCTGCCAGTGCTGTTCTGGATCACAGGGGGCTTTGACAGCACCTCTCCACATTGAGACAAGTTTTGGAGCAGACTTCTACAATGAAAATGTTTGAAAAATCACATACTGTAGCTTTAAGTATGAATACATACAAGTGGAAAAGGGCCTGGAAGACATTGCTCTCCTTTCTGCTTATGCTTGAAAACCTTGCACATGGATGTAATTGCACTGAATATCGTGATAAAGATGCTTCAGATCATAGTGGCAAGTCTCTGGTCCTTCCTTGATAAACACACAGGGTTTGTGTATGAAGTAAGGCTTTAAGAGGCTCTGTTATCATCCTCAAAGAAAACCAGGCAAGGATTCAGAGTGCACAACGACATGCAGAAGGCTTATCGTCACTGGACTCACAGAGGCAAAAGGGGAACGCGGAGGGTAAAAGAGGAATGTGTTATTCGCCTGCACAGACAGACCTGATGATTAGCTCCATGCCAAACTGTCAGTCAGTCAGTCATTGTCTCTGCAGTGGCCTGTAGGAGGGGTTAATAGGCCACATTAGGAACTTTTTTTTTGCCTGCCCTCCATCTGCAGAGCCAGATCTTACTGGTGTTCAGACTTCAGCTGATTACGACTACTCCATTTAAAGCCCACCCCTCTTGTCCATTCCCAGGGGGTCCTGTCAGCCCGAGTTAATTTATGGAAGTGAATCATGGCTTTAGCCTACCTGCTAATCACCATTCACACAGCCACTGAGCAGTCTCTCATGGGTCTGGGCTTGTTTTGCCGGTTTCTTGCCCCATTAATCATGCTTTTCCCCCTAACAGTTCAAGTTGGATCGCAGCAAGCTGCACTGTTTGAAGCTGTTACATAATATATTCTGTTTTGATTTGATTTATTCTTTCTTTCAAGCAGGTAAAGACAGTTGATATATCAACACACATAATTTTACACATATCCAACAAATGCTAATCCAATATCAATTTGCTTATACCTAGTACATGCTTGAATGGAGTAGGAAGAAGTCAGACTTATCCAGTCCTACCCCATGACATCATCTTACATCATTGGTTTGCAAGCAGTATCTCTACATAAATAATTATCTTCTACACCACACAAGTAATATACTAAAGAATTATTACAAAGTGTTAACATTCATACACCACACCCACAATGTTCCATCTAATTAATCATTAAACCTGTTCTTGCATATATCTTGATTGACACATACCTTTATATTTATGTTTAAACTCATCAATTCTATTACTATTTTTTATGTCCACACTTAAATTATTCCATAGTTTTACCCCACTTATAGAAATACAAAATCTTTTTT